AAAATCGACTATTTTTTACCAAAAACCAAGTTAACAAATAAGAAGATCTTCACCGATTGGATTTATACAAGTTCATTCAGTTCAGTGTAGCTACACACTCTCAGAGAAACGTCCCAAAATCGTGCCCGCCATTCGAAAAAAACGCTATTTGGAGAAAAATGCGTTTAAAGTTTGAGAAGCCCTCTTGCCGCCACTTGATGCTAGCACAATAAATCGGTTATATCTTCTTCTTGAGATTTTCACTTGAAATTTCACAGGGATATTCTTGATTTAGTGTAGATTCGAATTAAATCAAAATATAAAATTAAATTTTTTGAGCATGAGAAATGTATCTATCGTCCATACTTTGGTAGAGTACCGTTATTTGAAGTTTTTTTTATTTCTTTTTAATTTCTTTTTTTATTTCTTTTTTCATTTGATGTCAATAGTTTTTTCACATTTAAATAAATATAAAATGTCAACAAATACGAAATACACAAAACGAATTGCCAGAAAATTGTCGGTACGAGCATTTTTTTTCCATTTCTATTCCCCTTGCCCTTCTCTCCTACAGTCAAAGACTTGCCGCAAGTAAACTCGCCTAATCTAAGTTGTGACATATTTTCTTCCAACACACAGACAAACAATAGTTTTTAAACAAAAAACAGTTGGCCTGTCAGGGGTAAATTTTATTCAAATTAATTTTTGCAAATTAACTAGGGTATTAGGTACTGTTATACCTAAACAGTTGGCCAATATTATTAATTTTTGACAGAGATATTTTGTAAGTTTATTCAAAAATTTGGAACGTTATCAAAAATGTCAGCTAATGAAATCATCGGTGTATGTAATGCATCATGACATCTACCATAAAACGGGAAAACTGATAAGTACTGTACTGTACACATATTTTCGATTACATGAAAATTATGCAACACCCTATGATATTCAGACTAACTCACCACCAAGAGCATTCGGCCTACCAAAATGTTGATAAAACAGTGCAGACATTTTTGCGCATAACTGTTAAATTTGTAACGGTCATTTCGGGGCTGTTTCTACTCAACTTTTGTCGAAAAGCTCACATGTACATAACATGGAATTTGAATGGAAAACATGTAAAAAAAGCCATAAAGATTGGCCAGACCGAACTTTTTATACCCTCCACCATTCAAAATACCCAGTGTGCATTTAAAATTCCTTAAATCAATCAGGACTTTTAAAGGGGATCTACGTTATTGCATTGTATGATAGTATGTTATAAAATAATGTACTAAATTACAGGCATTCAAGTTGATAATCTGGCGTAGGAACTTCAACGTGCCCAAACGACTAAAAATACCAAATAATTTTTAGCAGGAAGATTTACTGCGAAATAATGACCCAAAATATCAACACCTATTGAAAACCGAGGCCGAAAAACATCGCCAACATTATATGGGTTCTACCCTAAAAAGTGCTAAATGTTCAAACCATATCATAAATATTGTGAGCTCAAATGGACATGGCAAAATCGACATAGATATGGGAAATTACAAAATTCTTTTAAAATTCCATAAAAAAAAATTGAAAAATTTTTTGCGAGCACATTTATGATTTTTGGTACATAGGTTAAGAAAAATATGCTGATTCGAAATATGTTCGCGTTCACAAATTCGGATGCGAGGCACAAAAGTTATAGCGATTTTAAATCTTGTATTTCAAATATAAATTAAATGAATTCCTATTTGTTGTAATTCGCGAATTTCTTCACAAATGGTTAAATACATATGTTTTCTTTGTACACTAGTCAAATCACATTGAAATACGGTTCAATAGTCGCGAATAACAAATAGAAGCATGGAGATATCTGAAAATAAAATAAATTAATTTTTTTTTTGAATTTTCGATTTTTTAGTATGGTTAAGGGAAAACGGGTTTGCCTTAATCTTCTAAAATATGCGACGCTTTTTTTCAAATTCTTTTAGATGATTATTAAATATCGGTATATTCATCTGATAACAGTTTCGACTGTAAAAATGACTAAATATATTGCAGTTACAATACATACAAATTATCAATATTTAAAACCATGCAATTCGCGTATTAGTTGAAATCAGTTGATGCGCATGCGGTTTTCGTATAAACCGAATAAATGTTTTCCAATAATTATGCATTTTTCGAGGTTTCATTTAGCGGCCAAAGTGTGCCGCTCGATGCACTTTACTATGCAAAAACCCTAAAAATGACTAAAAATGGCGCAACGTGCATACGATTTTTGTGCACATCCGATTTCAGTAATCTCCTATGAAAATACACAAAAGGACACCTATTTTAAAAGGATCGGTTAAGAACCGCGGATGTGCCTCCACAATCGATTTTGGATAAAATTCGCATATTATTTGCGTATCAATGTATTTTTGACCTATTTTCACACACATTCGCGAATATTATAACACAAGAATGAATGTATGTGAAATCATTTCGAAGAAAAACGCGATTATATACGCGAATTTGTCAAAATAAGTTTTTGCAGTTTTTCCCACATTCAAGGTACCTATATCCGCCGTTTTATTGGGCGGAATTGATCATGGATGGGCTCATTAGATCCACGGAATTTGAATGGACTTTCTTAATTTTAGACTCAAAAAATAGGTTTTTTATAAAAATTTACGCACCAAATATTCGTCTTTGCGACCCAATTGCAAAGAAGCTACGGCGAGCACATCCACGAGATATACACTAAACGAAGCAAAATCACGAGTTCTACAATCGTATAATTAGTTTAGTCTATTATCTGGATGCGCGTCCTAATTATAAGAAAAAATCAAAAAACACCGAAAATCCGGCTTCAAAATGTCAGCATCCATTTTGGGTGGATGCAGTGATTATATCGAAAAATCATACATTAGAACCATATTGTCCATGGGGTATTCGGCAACTTAGTCATTGATCACATGTGCGTGCGTTGTGTAGTTTACAAAATGAAAAAAATTCGCATTTTTTTGTTGCAAACATAAATTTTTACCAATATTTTAAGATTTTGAAAAAAATTCATTTCAGCAACGTACACAGGGGGGGGGGCCCGGTAGTACAAAATGAAAAAATTCGCTGTTGCAAACATAAATTTACTATGAAAAAAATTCATTTCGGGGGGGGGGGCCCGGGCCCCCCGGGCCGCCCCCTGCGTACGACCCTGCTTCATTTTATAGAAATGAATTTAATTTATATGCAATATGTTAATATTTCGCTAGTTATAACCTTGCAAACCTCAGTTTCAAGGAATCTAAACGATTTTTGTAATTTCCCATATACTCTCATTAGTCATAAAGCTGAGGGTATAAAAATAGTGTAAGACAATGCACTTGATGGATCGTTTTGTTTCAAGTTCTGTACTTCTGTACAATTGCACGTAGTTATGAAGAAGATCAGCTAAAATAATAAATATATCGGACGAAAACATTTACGGGAGTTATACCCAAATCTGAAGATACTTTAACCAATCTGAATTAGCTGATTCTAAGCTCAATGTGGTATGTTGTGCCAAATTTTGTCTCAATCGAAAAAAACCTGAGGTATTTGATGCACAGTTGCATGGAATCCGACGTAAATACATGCAGGAGCTATACCTAAATCCAAACCGACTAAAACAAAAGTTTTTACACGTAATTCTAAACCCAATTCAATGAGCTATGCAATATTTCGTCCCAATCGGAACTTTGATGTAAAATGTACATACAATTGAAGAAAACTATATATGGGAGCTATATCTGAACCGATTTTCACCCATTTCAATAAGGTACCGACGGAAGGTCCAAATACATATTTAATTTTTTTTTATATTGAACAGCATAGCTTGAAGGAGAAATCAGTGGCGTTATATGGGTTAACTCACAATATTTGTTGTTTATGAATGCCTTAAATGTGAATGTTCCAGGTTATTTTTATATCGAACCCACTCCATATATTGTTGACCTATTTTAAATACACAAAATAATGTCCTAGTAACACATATAACATTATGCTTTCCCGACACGCTTCTCGCAATTTCTCTCGCTTTCTGAGAGTTATCTACAGAAATACCGGGATATCTTGATACGGACATGCGCAATAATTGCAAAACAAAACATTAATTGACAGAAGTCCTATGAACGCACAACAATGATACAGGATAACAACAACATCACGTCAATGACATTGGGAGTGAAATAGTGGCGGATTCTTTTGAAAACAAAAGGGACAATGAAAGCTGTTACTTACCAAAAAAGCTTTACTTGCCAAGCTATTAACTTTGAATGTCCTTTGTCCTGTGAATTAGTTTGCCAGAACAACGCACCGAAAACAGAAGTAGCACCGCGCGGCAATCATTACCATTCATTACAAACGCATACATACACACACACACACATTTCTGGTGTTATTTTTTTTCTTCGCTCTTAAATTATAAATGTTTTGCATTTCATAGTGAAAATAATCTAGAAAAATATAAGCATTTTTGACCAATCCCACAATAAAACCAACAAAAACAAAACGAATTTATTGTTCTAAGCGAATTGTATGTGGCCAATGATTTTTTTTATAACATTTACTAAAAAGAAAAAAGTTTTTAAAAAAGACAACTTTTTATTGTGTTTGTGAATTTAATCGACCATTAACAAATTCTTCATTAACGACCAACAAGTCGCAATTTGTTTAGGGAAAATTTATATATACGGCTAATGCGATAGTCTCTATGGTATTTGGAATTATAATTAGTATCTCCTTGGTGCCTAGACGCTAACGAGTTATTTACGTCGTTTCGAAAACAAACATGAAAATGAAAATTGAAATAATCAAATATTAGCACACCCACTTGAAAAGAGGAAATATAAAAAAAACAGAACCAAAGAGGATATACGACCAACCACAACGGAATAATATTTATAGATATATAAAAACAACTAAAACACCCACGACCAGTTCAAATCGATCTGGAAATTACTGTAAAAGGAGCTTTTTAACGCCTATATATATTTTTAAAACATAACCCCGAAAAGAAGTTCGATTTAAGATGGGTCGCCGCAAGGATAAACCGCGCCTCATACCCGAACAGGATAAACGCATTTGTCGCGCTATATGCCTTTGTCAGCTGACCATGGTGTTGTCCTGTGTTTCCATTGTTTATTTGAGTGTGGCTATTTATTCGCCCTCGTTTAAGTAAGTTTTGTAATTGTATATTTTTTTCTATGTTTATTTTTTCTTATTACAACAAACACCGCCAAGAATTGTGTTGTGGATGGTGACTGAAAACTATTTAAATGACGCAATACAGGGTTTCATTATTTTCCATTAATTTCAAATAAACAACAGACAAAAAACACATTTTGCGGACAATTTGTTTACTAATTAGAAAGTACACATTTTATACAGTCGGGCCTGTGGAGAGGGGGATTGAAAAAATAAAAATTCTAGGACTTATTTAGAATTCAATAAAATATAACTGTATCATGTAAACTATTTTGGGCTCGGAAACAAATAATACAGTATTTGAATAGAAAACCCAGTAAGCGGAGCAGTATAGTCGGACGGGGCCGACCATATGATACCCTACACAACTTTCACGAAAATCTAACATTTTTTGATTCCATATTCTGAAGTTGGGCAATATTTCGCGATATTTGAACCATCAGTACAACCCTTTAAATTACATGTCCCGATTCCCTTCACTGTGGATTGTGTTGTGATGTTCGGCTTTTAATTGTGGCCTATACATCGACTCGTAAAAACACAAAAAATAAGTTTTCTGTCCACTTTATCCAAAACTGTTTATCTGATCATCACCGAAAATTTTAGGCGTGGTCCTTGACAATAACTGGAAACTCATGGAGCATATACGCAAAGTCAGGGTCCATTTGACTAGCTAAATATTGACCGATCTTTATCAAAACAGGCATGCTTATTCTTTGGCCGGATTCCCTTCTCCATGTAAAAACTCGCGATGTTTGGGTCATAATTGTGGCCTCTGGAGCGACCAGAAAATCAGACAATAAAGTTTTTGGTCCATTTCATCCACTAAATATTAACCTATCTTTACCAAAAACAATAGGGGTCTTCATTGGCCAAAACCAGTGCTTCATGCAAAATTTCGTGAAAATTGGTTAATAACTATGGCCTGTAACGTGTTTACAAATTATAATGGACAGACGGACGGACACACATGTCTAGATCGACTCAGCTAGTCGAGATATGACGATCGGTATACTTAAAGGTTGGTCTAGGACCAATATTTCGCGGCGTTACAAATTCTTGGGTCTGCACAAAGCTATAATACCCTGACAACATAGTTGTGTAGGGTATAATATTGTAGTTCTGTATTCTTAAACTATGAAAATATTCTAAAACGTGGACCGATATAAATAGAGGTGTAATAGCAATGTCGAAGCACTATCTTAAATTACAAAATGGACATATAATTTGGAGCTGCACATAGAATATAACTTTTTGCAATCTCATATCCCGGCATGAGTTTTTCCCTAAGATCAGAAAATATATTTTTATTATGTTTCTAGCTATGCTTATAAGGTTTTCTGTGTTCTGTCCATTGCTGTAGATTTTGAAGCTCCTGGTGCATTTTCCTTCTATTTGGGCTTGTAATATATTCTGGAGTAATATGAACAGTAGATATCGGATATATTTACTTACTTAGCAGGCTTGTTACAGAACGGTTGTTCCATAAGCCAAGCTTAAAAAAGATTTCCAAGCGCGTCGGTCTTGTGCGCAAATCCACTAATTTGGAAGACCACATTCCAAGATATTGTTTTCTACTTGGTCTTTCCATCTAATTCGTGGCCTTCCTCTTCTACGGGAACCATCAGAAGGCTCGTTGTTATATGCCAAGCGCGTCGGTCTTGTGCGCAAATCTACCAATTTGGAAGGCCACGTTCCAAGATATTGTTTTCTACTTGGTCTTTCCATCTAATTCGCCGCCTTCCCCATCTACGGGAACCATCAGAAGGCTCGCTTTTATATGCCTTTTGAGCTGGGGCATTATCATTCATTTGCACAACATGGCCTAGCCACCGTAGTCGCTGCAGCTCAATATGTCGATGTCCGCGTACAAATTGTAAAGCTCATGGTTCATTCGAAGCCGATATTCACCGTCGACGCAGATCGGCCCGTAGATCTTTCGGAGAATTTTTCTTTCAAACACTTCAAGAGCTTCAGATCCACGGGTAGTATCAGTGTCTTGTAAAGTGTGAGTTAGGTCTGGCGGGAGGTGGCCTTGTTTCTAAACTGCTTACTTAGACCATAGTAGCATCTGTTGGCCATCACAATCCTTCTCCGAATTTCGAAACTGATGTCATTCGTTTTATTTATGGCGGTACCAAGGTATATGAAGTCTTTGACGAAGCTGTAGTTCTCAAGTTCCACAGTTGGTCCAAGTCTACTGGCCGTCCTGCTCGTTGATACCATCAGCTTGGTCTTCTCGCTGTTTACTGCCAGGTCCACTTTGGCAGACTCCTTTTCAATTTGTTCAAAGGTGGTTATTACCGCTCGCAATGTTCGACCCATTATATCGATGTCATCAGCGTAGGCGAGTAACATGTGTTGTTTTGTTTACAGAGTGCACATTTTTTCACCTTTGCCTCTCGTATGACCTTTTCCAGCAGGACGTTAAAAAGACAAACTGCCACCTTGTCTGAATCCTGGTTCGGTATTGAAGGGCTCCGGTCCGTCTTTAACTGCTGACCTTGTGTCACTTAAAGTTATCATGCATAGCCGTATTAATGTTCAGGAATGCCAAACGTAGACATTGCTTTAAAGACCTCTGAACGGATAGGGCTGTCGAATGCGCTTTATAGTCGACGAATAGGTGGTATGTGTCGATGTGTTTTTCGTGGGTCTTTTCAGTATTTGGCGCAGAGTGAAAATCTGGTCTGAAACCGCATTGGTCCAATAATGTCATTGACCATTGGTTTCAATCGTTCACACAGCACACTGGATATCACTTTGTATGCGATGGAAAGAAAGCTAATTCATCTATAGTTGGCACATATTGTCTTGTTTCCTTTTTTTGCACAGGATGCTGAGGTTCCAATCATTGGGCATGCATTCCTCTAGCCAAATTGTACTAATCAGCTGGTGCATGCTCCTGGCCATCATCTGACCACCAGTCTTGAATAGTTCGGCTGGTAACCCATCGGCTCCTGCTGCTTTATTGTTCTTGAGCCGATTAATTGTTATTATAACCTCATTATGACGCCACTATAGCTTTTGCAAAATGCTCCTTCCAGATCCTCAACACCCTGTCTGTATCTGTCACCGGGTATTCTTCTTCATCTCTACAGGAGGATTTTTTGTACCAAGTGTTGTTGTTTTCAGCAGTTTGTAGGGAGTGGGCAATTCTTTGCTATTGTGCTTCTATACTATTGTCGGCATTCGTATTTTCCATTGAGTATTCAAGCATTTGAGAAATTTTGAGTAGTCATTCAGTGTCGCAGATAGTTTTCGGAAATCTTCAGCAACTGTCTGCTGAACCAATTATCTGCCCTGAATAAGAATTCCCCCAATACCTTCTGGGGACTTTCTGTGATAGTTTAAGTTTTCCTATCGTTCAACTAGATAGTAGGCAACTAACTTTATCTAGATGCGTTATTACGTAGTTCCCAAGGTGTTTGACGTCGAAGGGTGTGCTCCACTTCCTTAACCCTTTGTGGCCCAATGTTGCCCACAGGCAACAAAATGTTTTAGAGCTTATATTTAATATGCAGCTAGTAGATACATATTATTTGGATTTCATATGTCAAGACTTGATTATGAACGACACATATCAAAAGAAAAATAAAAAAAATCAAAATGTTGGTAAAGTTATGAGCTTTTCAATATAAAGAAGAGGGTAAATTTGTGTATACAGTCCAAATTATTTAAATCGCTTCGTATTCAAATTGTACGAGTTCTGCCATCAGAATTATATTTGATTCTTGTAAAAATGAATATAGAGAATAATTTAAAATGATTTTTCTGACGATTTTTCATTTGGTTTTCTTGATATTGGACTTTAATTTTTCCGAAAGAATGTACTGTATCTCTGGAATGCAAGGATGTAGCGATGTCAAATTTTATGCATATCCTATTTACGATAGTTGCATTAAATCTGTGAACAGGAATTTGTTTGCGGAAAAAATTCGGGACTCAAAGGGTTAATAAAGGTCCAGTTATATATATTCAATAAATTAAAATCACTTCCTTCACCCATGGCACACTCACCGCGACTTCTTCTTTCTCCGCTGGTAATTTCACTATGTAGCCTCGGGACTTCCCGATAGGTTCGCAGTTCTGCACTGGCTGATCGCGGTAGGATGAGTTCTGGCCAATGAAGACCCCTATTGTTCTTGGTAATGATCGGTTCATATTTAGGGAATGAAATAGACCAACAACATTATTTTTCTCTGACTTACTGGTCGCTCCAGAGGCCGCAATTATGGCCCAAACATAGCGAATTTTTACATTGAGAAAGCGATTGGGTCAAAGAATATGCTTGCATGTTTTGATAAAGATCGGTCAATATTTAGCAGGTCAATTCTATAGCGTATATATTTACCCCTGAAGAATATAGATCGAGTCCAAGAGGAGTGGTTGACCTTTAAATTGATACTAATTATATTGTCGTATGTATTCGGATGTGGGAGATACACTTAAATATTTACAGGTGCTTACGTATTCAAATATTATTCAGTAACCCACACACTAGAGGGCGGAAATATAGCGCTGGTACGGTCAAGGACAACGCCTATAACTTTCTGTGATAACAATATTGGGATGAAGTGGACCGAAAACTTATTTTTTTTTTCAAGACGATCTACAGTTGACAGTCGGGCGCAAAAGCCGACCTTTAGACTTTTCGAATTTTGCCTCTGACCAAAAGATTTTTAGAGTTTTCGATTTTTGCCTTCGACTTAAAAGTCGACTTTTCGATTTTTCTTTTCACAATCGATTCTCGACATTTCGATTTATTAAATAAATAAAGTTCTGGAATGATAATAAACCAAGTTTTTATGAAGAAAATCGAATGTCGATCTTAAAAAAGCGATTTCCTCAGAGATCGAAAGTCGACTTGTAGGCTTTTCAAAACAAAAAGTCGATTAGTCTACATTTTGGTTATCAGTACAATATTTAACTATTACTCAATTACGGAAATTCCAAATAAAAATGTTACTTTTTACAGTATTATAAGAAATTGTAACAAAAATATATTTACGTATATATTTAAAAAAAATATTGTCTCTTAACTTTGTTTTTGGTGTGGACGAAAATGAGGGACTATTTTCGAACTTACAGTGGATACAGTAGCAAGCTGTCATTGCCCTTCTTGGTTTAGACAGGTTACCACTGGTCCTCGTGATCCTTACTCTCACATTGCCGATTGCAGAAGTTGCCATCATCTTTGAACTGAAGTGGGCTAAATATATTTGAAACGTTAAATGACGTGTATCTTCAGGGGCATGCGAAACCGTTCATTCAACGGTGATTCAACAACTGTTAAGTTGCAACATATTGATGTCGCCTGAACCTGGAACTTTAGTTTCTTTCTTATTCGCCACGTTCGAAGCATGTACTTATACCTAATTCTTAAGTACCATACAAATGTTCTGCAATGTTATGTTATACTTATTTTTAGCCATTCTAATGTAACGGAAATTTTACTTGTTTCCATACGTGTTCAACATTGCTAAAACGCCTTGCTCTTTTTATAATTTATGTCAAGTTTTTTTTCTTATTGAATAATCGTCGAATATCATATATTCTTAAAATCTTCGTGTTGGTACATTCGAATAAGAACGACCTTGTTCCCAATATCTAATATCCAAATAAAATACTTGAATAAGAATAAGTAGATTATAAAATGGCATGTGTTTGACTTATCCTTGACCGTTGCTTTAGAAATTTCATTCACAAATATGAAGTCTGTCGCATACAAATAATTTATAGTTTCAGTTAATACTACGATATAAATCTAAAAAATGTATGTTGATATGATGGAGCGTATTATTAATTTGTCATCCCGTTTGCAACACCTCGATATATTCATCGGAGTATGTTTGGTACTGAGAATATATCCCGGTCCACAGTTTAGTATAGCGCACATATAACGGTACTCCAAATATTCTGTATTTCGGAGATTTGTGGTACACTTTTTAACCGAATTTGGTACTTCCATTGGGTAGCGAATCTCCCTTACAGGAATGGTTGATATCAGTTCACTTTTTATTCCACATTATTGGGTACATTGGGAAGTTTGGGCTTTTTAACCGAACTGGTTGTAATATGGTATTTTGATATTAAAAGATTTGATATTTAAAAATGTTCCTTACTAAAGTTTATTAATATCGGGGTAGTTTGGGGGTAGCCTTCTAATAGATGTACCGGCCATTATTCGCTATTTTGTATAGCGCTCCATATTGCTGTACGCCCCAATTATTCAGTATTATTTTTGACACGTTTTCAACAGAATTGGCTGTAATTAGCTAGTTTTGGTTCTCATTGGGTATAAAATCTTCCCACTGAAAATGATCAATATTGGTCTGTTTTTTTTTTTTTTTTTTGGATAGCTCCCATTTAACGGTACCCCCGATTAATCGGTATTTTAGGTATTGTGGGCAGGTTTTCCAACCTAATTGGCTGTTGATTAGTATTTATATTTGTACTAAAAATATTGAACCAAGTTTGTTAAAGTTAGCCCCACATTTGGTATTTTGGAAACGTTTTTTAACCGAAATGACTATAATTTATTATTTTGTATTCTCATTGATTGTCATATTTCGCTACCCAAAAATATCAATATTAATCCCCGTTTTGGTATAGCCACACTATTAGGTACTCATCTTGTCCTTGCGTTTCTTTTCGGTATATTCAAAGTCTTTCATGACAACCGCCTTTTATTCGACCGGAACGAACTTAAAATCTGTCGTTTCTGTGGTACAGGGTATTACGCCTTTGTGCATATGTTTGTAACAGGCAAAAGGAATCGAGGAATCGAAGTATCCTTTTGAGAATATGTATAGAATCACTTTCTGAGTCGATTTATGCATGTCCGTCCATACACCTTTCCGTCTGTTGATGTTAAATTGTAAACAAAGTACTGGTAGCATTTATAGTCCGATTTAAATAAAGCTCATTTATTTGGACGGACCCTACGGAAATTGGTGAAAATCTGTTCAGAATTAGATATTGCTCCCACATATATTTTCGTCCGATTTAATGTAAATTGTGCGCTAAAGGCCAACAACAGATTTATATAAATTAACCTCTGGTAAGTTTCCCAGAAACCGGTTCAGATATAGCATAGCTACTATATATAATTTCAACCTATTCGTGTTAATTAACCAAATAATCAATGGGTGTCTGATTGAGATTAAATTTTCAAAAGTGCAGCATACCGAATAGCATGTATCAAGTTTGCTTTAAATCGATTTACAAAATGTAGCATAGGTTGCAGAATGCCATGTGTAGGGATTGATGTTGTTAGACGGTTCGCATATAGGGATCACATATTTAAGTTTATTCAATTTCATGTCAATGTTCCTTGAAGGGTATCATATAATCGGTCCAGTCCGATTTTACTACTTTCATTTCTGGTTTTTTAATATATAATTTCTATTTATAGAGCCTTCAAGTCTGGTTTTGAACTGGATCCGGTTATGTGCCAAACACACAATTCCGAAATGCCGGACAGCCATTGTGCGTGGGCATCGTGCGGCGAATGGTGTTTAACACGTACCAGCGGTTTTTGTCCACAGATATATTCAACAGTTCGACGCAATGGCACCGATGTACAATTTAATAATTGTTCTAAGAAATTCTATTCCAAAACGACATGTCCAATGGTAAGTTATTTGTGTTTTAGACACCCACACATTGCAGCAGACGCAAACTGACAGTGACAAAGTTATAACATTAAGGACAACATGAAAACAAAATCAATCATTGTGAACGAAGTTTTTTTTTTTGCAAACTGTTGGTTATGTTGTGTGTATGTATGTTTCAAGAATAGACAATCAAAATAAATAGGTTAAAAATCTACAAAATAAGTTGTGGGGATATGATATGGTTTTATTGGTTCAAAGGTTTACTAAAAAATTAAGACATTGATTTGCACGAAACTTGGCACAGCGTACTGAACTGAATCTAGAAGGATGTGTGCGAAGTTTCGTGGAAATCGGTTCAGCGTACTGCATTACAATTATGCCATGTTCTGACGGGCATTCGAACAACGTAGTTCGCTCTCAGAATTACGTACTCGAATTAACCCGTTCATACAACACTGTTCTTACTTCCTGTCATCAGAGTTTTTTTATTTCAAACTTTTTCTTTCTTGTTTTACACCAAAATTGTAACATATTTGCGTGAATCACATATGAATCTAAATAGAAACCAGTAAGGAAAGTAGTAAAGTCGGACGGGGCCGACTATATGATACCCTTCACCACTATGGGTATATTAAACAGAACTATTACAGGACTATTCGTGCAAATCGAAAGATATATAGAGACTTGGGTGAACCATATACATGAAATCGGACGAAACTATATATGGGAGCTATATAGAAATCTGGACCGGTTTTCTCGAAACTTGGCAGACATTCATTCTATACTCAATTCAGTACGCTATGCCAAATTTCTTGCAAATAGAAAGATATTTAGCGACTTTGGTGCACCATTTACATGAAATCGGACGAAACTATATATGGGAGCTATATCTAAATCTGGACCGATTTTCACGAAAAAAGGCAGACATCACTCTAGGCTCAATTGAGTACGTTATGCCAAATTTCGTGCAAATCGAAAGATATATTGCGACTTTGGTGCATCATTTACATGAAATCGGACGAAACTATATATGGGAGCTATATAGAAATCTGGACCGATTTGCTCGAAACATGGCAGACATCTTTCTAGGCTCAATTCAGTACGTTATGCCAAATTTCGTGCAAATCGAAAGATATATAGGGACTTTGGTGCACCATTTACATGAAATCGGACGAAACTATATATGGGAGCTATATCTAAATCTGGACCGATTTTCTCGAAACTTGGCAGACATCACTCTAGGCTCAATTCAATACGTTATGCCAAATTTCGTGCGAAAGATATATAGGGACTTTGGTGCACCATTTACATGAAATCGGACGAAACTATATATAGCTATATCTAAATCTTGACCGATTTTCACGAAACTTGCACACATCATTCTAGGCTCAATTCAGTACGTTATGCAAAATTTCGTGCAAATCGAATGATATATAGCGACTTTGGTGCACCATGTACATGAAATTGGACGAAACTATATATGGGAGCTATATCTAAATCTGGACCGATTTTCTCGAAACTTGGCAGACATCATTCTAGGCTCAATTCAGTACGTTATGCCAAATTTCGTGCAAATCGAAAGATATATAGCGACTTTGGTGTATCATTTACATGAAATCGGACGAAACTATATATGGGAGCTATATTGAAATCTGGACCGATTTTCTCGAAACTTGGCAGACATCTTTCTAGGCTCAATTCAGTACGTTATGCCAAATTTCTTGCAAATCGAAAGATATATAGCGACTTTGGTGTACCATTTACATGAAATCGGACGAAACTATATATGGGAGCTATATCTAAATCTGGACCGATTTTCACGAAACTTTTTTTTTCCCAATTTCAATAGGGTTCGTCCTTGGGCCAAATAAGTGACCTGTGCCAAATTTCATTCAAATCGGATTATAAATGCGACCTGTACTTTGTTTACAATTTAACATCTACAGACGGACGGACGGACGGACGGACATGCAAAAATCGACTCAGAAATTAATTCTATGCATATTCTCAAAAGGAACCCTGTGTCTATCTCGTTTCCTTTTGCCTGTTACAAACATATGCACAAAGACATAATACCCTGTACCACAGAGTGGTGAAGGGTATAAAAATAATTCTCTTTCTCCTGACTATAATATCAACCCCTATCTCTTTACTTTTAATTCATGTTTTCCATTTTTCCTGAAAATATTGTTGTTTTCAATACATTTTTATATTTTCTCACCTCAAATGTCACATTCAAAAAATTGGAGAATTTTTGTTTGGGTTTCCCCACTTTTGTCTCTCGTTTTGTACGCTAATTAGAACAAAGGGAAACGAAATGCATATTGCATCATGTAGACAACAAAATTTACATCCTTCTGCATATATAAAACTAGAATTTTGTTTACTTTTCATTCATCATTTTCATTTTTACTGAAAAAGTTTGAAAATTTTAAAATTTTTTTCATGTTGTCAAAATTAATTTATTTTCGATAAATTCTCTCAATTGTTAGAGATGGGACAAAATTATTTGTGATTCAGAGAGTGATTCGAATTGAACAACGTACAAAATTAGATGTTCGCTCAGACAATTTTGTATTGGGAACTAAGTAATTACTTCATAATTAAGGGTCGAACAACGAATGAAAGAACGAACAACGCTCGTCTGTACATGGCATTAGATAGAATGATGTGTGCTAAGTTGCTATGTCAAACCATGCGGCTATATATTTTCGCCTCCGATAACTTGAAAATTCAAATTACAACCACATTGTTTGGAAACTGCAGGAGGCCAATCCAAAACCTGTACCCATCTAACCCTTTTAAATATTTCTAATGTAGACATAACGTTTGGGAGAGGTCATATAAATATATTTCCCCAAAGTGACATGAGTCATTTAGACAAATTATAATAACAGTTCTAATGCTCAAGTTGACAACACGTTGCTCGTTTTGTTGTGGTAATATTGTATTTGTTGTCAGAATGTTTTTTCTTGGGTAGCGTTCACATGGTTTTTACGAAATACATCTATAAAGCAACAACGTAAATGTACATGTTAATGCTACCGGTGTCCATTGTAAAACAACAGTGTAAACCACACCTGTTAAAGGACCATAAAGTGGTATGATGGCGAAGAAAGTTACACTATAATTGTAAATGATGCCTTCTTTCAATATTTTAATAGTTTACAATCTATGTATCTATATACAATATATGTCAAAACCGAAGCACAGCATCAGAACAGTTTTATAACCTCCACCATAAAGTGGGGAGTATATTCAATTTTTTCATCCGTTTGCAACCACTCGAAATATTCACTGGAGACTCCTTGTAGTATATAAATTAAGGAGCAAAATAAAATTCGATGTCAACTTACGCAATATTTTTATGATGGAGCTCTGAAATTTTGCACAGACATTGTCAGAACTCCTAGGTATTGCAAATGGGATATATCCGTTCACTCTCTCATTGTGGAACTTGTCCGTTCCAAACATTATTGATATTGACCCAACTTTCAGTGTAGCCCCCATATAAAAGTACCCCTAATATACAGTATTTTTGGGATTTGGGACACGATTATTATTTAACCAAGTTTGAGGGTAGCCCCATATATAAGGTACCCCAACATATCCGCCCCAAAAAAAAATAATAATATTGGCCCAAGTTGGTACTCTAAGGATTTTGGACATGTTTTTCAATCGAAATGGCTTTAATTTGGTATTTTGTATTATCATTAATTGTCAAATTACACTACCCAAAATTATCAACACTGATTCCAGTTTTGGTATAGCCCTATAAATCTCTAGTCCCACTATAAGGTAAACATCTTTTTCTCACGTCTCTTTTCGGTATATTCAAGTCTTTCATAACATGAGTTTTTTCCTAGGACCTCTCATCAATTTTAGACATTTTGAATATCATCCTCATGATGGAGGGTATTCGGCCGGAGCGAATTTAAAATCTGTCTTTTCTGTGGTACAGGGTATTATGTCTTTGTGCATATATTTGTAGCATGGAAAAGGAATCGATATAGACCAATTGAAATTGGTGAAAATCGGTTAAGATTTACATATAGCTCCCATATATATTTTCTTTCGATTTTATGTACATGGTGCACCAAATGCTCTACATATCTTTCAATTTTCACGAAATTTGGCACAGCGTACTGAATTAATACTAGAATGATGTGTTTCGTCAAAATTGGTTCGGATTTAGATACATTTCTCACATATATTTTCGTCCGATTTGATGTAAATTGTGCACCAAAGTCCCTAATATCTTTCGATTTGCACGAAAATTTGCATTCAGATTTATGTATATTTTCGTCCGATTTTATGTAAATAGTGCAATAAAGCATCTATTTTTATTTCGATTTGCATGAAATTTAACATAATGTACTGATATGAGTCTAAAATGATGTTTGCTTAATTTAGTGAAAATCGGTTAAGATTTAGATATTGCTCCAATATATTTTTTTGTCCGATTTAATGTAAATCGTGCACCAAAGCCCCTATATTTCTCTCTATTTGCACGAAATTTGGTATAGCGTACGTTTGATATAGCATAGCGTGAATTAAGTCTAGAATGATGTGTGTTAAGTTTCGTGAAAATCGGTTCAAATTTAGATATAGCTCCCATATATATTTTCGTCTGATTTTATGTAAATGGTACACCAAAGCCCCTACATTTCTTTCGATTTTTACGAAATTTGGCATAGCGTACTGAATTAAGACTAGAATGATGTGTGTCAAGTTTCGTGAAAATCGGTTCAAATTTAGCTATAGCTCCCATATATATTTTCGTCTGATTTTATGTAAATGGTACACCAAAGCCACTACATTTCTTTCGATTTTTACCAATTTTGGCATAGCTTACTGAATTAAGACTAGAATGATGTGTGCTAAGTTTCGTGATAATCGGTTCAGATTTAGATTTAGCTCCCATATATATTTTCGTCCGATTTTATGTAAATGGTGTACCAAAGCCCCTATATTTTTTTCAATTTGCATGAAATAGCGTCTAAAATGATGTGTGCTAAGTTTCGTGAAAATCGGTTCAGATGTAGCTCACATATATATTTTCTATGTGCGATTGATCCTTCACCAAAGTGGAGAAGGATCAAAATCCATGTCCCATCCTTATGAAACCACGAAATGTATTACCTTTAGGAATAAAATCTCTGAAAGATTTCATTTGTTTGTATATGTTATGAATATATTCATTTATATGATTTCATTCATCATCATCATTTCAGCCCGATATGAATACATTGGCTAAATTTAATTGCAACAATGGCACCGAATGCAATCATCTTAAGGGTGTATTTAATTGTTCAAATGGTAAGGCTGCTCTCAACAAGTGTTGTACTTTAATAATGACAAGCATGTGTACATATATATTTTAGGACATTGCAGAAATATGACACAGTCATTCATTTGTCACCACAAAGCCGATGGACCAGTCATCAATTCTGCCAAAGATAATACCAAACTAAATGGTTTCTTCGAATGCAAAGGTATTCACTGTACCAAAATCAGAAAAGCCTTTACATGTGATCGGATTTGTAATGCAATAGGAACATCTGAACGAAATGTGATGTTAATGGAGGTACTAATGAGTATACCTTTTACAAAAATCCAAAATTTTCAAACGCAAATATTGAATAATTTCAGGACAATAGCGTCATAACGGCCGATTGTGAAAATGCTGTGGCTTTCAATGAGGCTCGTGGTAATGAACCGGGCGTTCGCATAGATCCCACCGAATTTTGGAAACAAGATGATGGCATACTATTGGCAAATTGTGCCTCCGTTACAATGGTAGAAACTAAGGACGGTAGAACAATAACGTAAGTTACAAACCGGATGATTTTTATTTTTCATTCCTTACTTTTTTGCCTTCTTTCAGCGCAAAAGACTGCATAAACGGCACCCTATTACCACCGGGAACTTTACCCAACTCATCAATGAACTTTACCGATTTTTGGAAAATATATTCCGACAGTAAAATCGAAGTTGATCCGGAACAACGATTTTTACCCAATCAACACAATTTAACAATATACAAATCGAAGAAATTATTTATTAATTTAGAGGGTTGTGTCAATACGCTGCGGGGAGAATGCAAAGAATTTTGGGCACGTCATGGCAAAGATGGTGACAATAACACTGCAATGTCCCGATACCAATGCTACTATAATAAGGTATGTGGGAAATTGATGTGAGCATTTTTCTAATTGAAGGCTCTCCGTTAAATCTTTTTGTGGAATGCTTCAATGGCATTTAGTTGTTGTTGTTGTAGCAGCCCTTTTGCTTTTACACAATGGGCTGAGGTGACAGACGTTGGCCGAGAAAGACTCTGTCGTGGAAACGATGACATTTAGTGGTTCAATTCGCTAATGAAACATCCATTGATTCATCGGCATCAACATCCACCTCAATGGGCATCGGAGGAGTCACCTGAATCACTGTTGTGTTGAACTGCAAATGTTTGCCCAAACTTCCCAATGTATATTATTGGGTTTTCCAATATTCGCAACGCATCAGATAGCATTCGGTCTGGCTGCCCGTAGAAGGAAAGGTGTTCATTTCTTTATAATTAAAACGCGTAGTAAATCTACATAAAAACGATTTCAAGTGACAGGTGTTATAAGCATACTTTTTCGAGACATATGTATATATGAAAACTATATGAACCGATTCAACCTAACTTGATACTCGTCATGCTAGACTTTAATCTCAAAGTCAAATGAAAATCATATCAACAAATCGGGTGAAAATATGGGAGGAAAATCCATCCATCTATATATATATATATCCTCTTCTTACACTCCTTCTGGAGTGTCAATCAAATCTCAATCTCATCAATCAAATATCTGGGGAATAGAATATTCGGCTTGTTCTAAACTTGTAGATCATAATATTATTAATAAACTTGGTTCGAAACGGAATACTATGCGAGACGATCCATTTACCTTAAAACTTTACCAACAAAGCAATGAAATATTTGAAATATTCTCAATTTGCACATCCTAATATTTTCTCTTTGCATTTAGAATAACATATATGTATGTAATTTATTTATAGGATCCAAATGTTGAATTCGTAACGGCTAGGTACGATTTGAAAAAGGTTTATAACGAGCTCATGATCTCCCTAATAGTACCCATAGTACTGTTTGTCATATCTTCAATATCACTGATTGTCATAACCAAACTTGTGAAGGTATGTCTTTGAAATCAAGTAATAAAACTGAGCATTTAAATCGTATATCATATAAATGACTTTACTTATTAATATTAAATAACATAATTTATTGTTCAAAGGTTGGTGATGATGCCAAAATGCGCTGTATTTGTGCCGCAGACAACGAAGACACCGATGAAATATATTCGGCACGTAAAAGTGTTCGGGCCAGACAAAAAGAAACCAACGAAGCAAATGAAAATCTCAATCAGTTGTCGAATTTAGAGGTATAATTATAATCCATAACTTGTTTTCACTCATACTTCATTTATAATTTTATTTTATACATCGTTTCATGTGACTTTTGTATTTTTCAGGAAATGGATATTAGCCCAAGTGATACACATGGCATGATTGGTAGCACAAAGCATTTATTACCACAAAGTGCTACCAATGACTCCACCGCCAATTCGGACCACACTAATGATGATGAAAAAGCCTTAACATGTGACATTCCCGAAAAACCATTAGTTGTAATTTAAGATGAAACAAAAAATTAACCCACCAGTAACAACAATTTACAAACTGCATTAATCTATAAACTAAAGTTTTAACAAATATTTTTGTGTATATGGATGTTTATACTCGACGTGAACCAAACAATATATGTTAAGGAATCACCATCAGTTCGTAACTCTCATCTTCAGCATACAGATAACACATTCTATTTATTGTCATAAACGTACATAGATGTTGTATAGAACAAACGAATCACAGTCGTACCTTGATATTATAAAATGATATTATATGTTATAATTCGTCCATGAACAAAAATGAATGCAAAATCTATCTAAAATATAACTTTTCGAGCTGTTATATGTTTACGAATATACATACTTATATTAGAATCATATGCGTTGCATCTACATTTTTTTCTAAAATTTCGCCAACATCATTACTAAATTAACAAAAAAAAAAATAATAAACAAATGAGAATATAACTGCCTTCAATGTTAACTACAGTGTAATCGAAAACAAAATCAAACTTACTATCTCAACACGATAAAGTAATAAACGAAAAACATAAACAAATATGGAAATATAATTTATTATGTTATTTCCTAAAACAAATATTTCTATATATATAAAAAAACAATAAAACATTAACCAAAACTAATTGTTTATTTGCATTTATTCTTAATTGTAAAGTCGGAAATATACAACAGTGTTAACCAAAAAGTAAATGGAAATTAGATTGGAAAATCTGGGAAAAAACAAAAAAAACATATCGATATACCCCATCAATTAATTTGACCTGCATATGGACCAAAGGCACATATGTACCTCCAATTTCAAATTTTCCTTTGCTTATAATTTCGTTAATTAATGAAAATTATCGGTAAGTTAACCACTACAGATATATCAATAAAATTAAATAGAAAGGAAATATATATTGGAGATTGATATTTGCTTACATAAATACATACACATTTTTGTAAACTTAGTTTCATTTTACACCCATTTATAACTTTTGTAGTTATTTTTTGCAAGAAGTATTTTTGCGTATGATCCAGTTATTATTTTGTCAATTAATGTAATGAAATTATAAACCAAGTTTACAATCATCGAAAAAAATTAATGTGCTTATTATTTCAGAAAATAGCTTCAAATATAAAGATAACTTAAATTTATTTTACTTTCACAACTTCAGACGGAGAAAATAAAACTCATTTTATTAACATGCTAAAAATTGTCATGTTTTATTATGAACCTACAAAATGTACATTTCACAACTTCAGACGGAGAAAATAATTCTTTCAAATCGATATTGTGGTCAGTAACCAAAGCAAAACAATGTGGACAATATCTTGTTTGTAGCATGGGCAACTGGAAAGAGAAGAAAAAAACATAAAATAAGAGTTTCTTTATTTTATTAATAAACCATATCGTTAGCTGAAATGCAAAAAGGCGTAACTAACAAAAAATTGAAAATTGACTTTTTGAATGAATATTGTGAATGTCAATAAACTACATGTGTTGATAAAGTCAAAAAAAAGAGCTTCTATTAACAAAAAACAAAAAGACGTAACTACAAGTGGGTTTATTTGATAAATGCAAAAAGGCGTAACTAACAAAAACAATTTTTTACTTAATTATTATGACTGCCATTAAACTAAATAACTAAATTTGTTAAAAAAAATATAGTATATTATTCGTCATATGCAATATCACCCTGCCGGGCATACTTTTTTCATTTCACATTACATGTTTATAATTATGCTTTTGTTAGTTACGCCTTTTTGCATTTTAGCTGACGATATATTATTTTAAATAAATGATATATGTTCTGTTCCAGTACTTTTTTTAATAGTAAAGCTAGTAAAAGGGAAACATTTCAAAATCGCTCTCAGAGTACAAAATAGTTTGAAAAGTTCGGGAACGCAAATCTAGTGAATATGCCAACATTAGATGGCAATACTTCAAAATCAACATAACAGCCGATCAGAAGTAGGCATTCCTGTTTACCATTTTTACTCGGCCAAATTTCTCGAATAAGAAGTTTACAAAGAGAACGCCATTTTGTTTGTGCTCTATTAAATTTCAGATTCAATGTTTTACCAGTTTTGCGGGTTCAGGAACGGTTTTCGAGTAAAAAGTTGCTAAACTTGTAAAATTAGTAGATTCTTTCAGGTTCTGGAACGGAACTACAGTTAGTTCAAAAAAGGTTCATATGAATATTTTATTTACACCAGAATAACAAATAACTAATTAATATTTAAAGAATTAGGTCGTTTATTTTGAAAGTGGGTTTAGTCCATTTTAGATTCTGATACAAATCTAGGTTTTCTAGAAAAGTTTACAAAACATATTACGTTATGTGTTCTATCATGTTTAAAAGCACAAAGCTACAAACAAAATGAATGCCACTTAACAATATGTTTGAAACAAATCTAAATCTGTAGACATCTCAAAATAAAAAAAAATATAAACTTAAACCTCTTTAAAAATAAAAGACTCAATTGAGTAATTAATTACCGTCAATGTTACAACTTAAATTGTTGACAATTAACTTAAGGGGACCCCCCCCCATTCTCGGGGTCAAAATTTTTGTTGATATAATTCGAATCTACACTGATTAAAGAATGTCTCTACAAAATTTCAAGTGAAAATCTCAAGAACTGTTGAAGATATATCCGATTTAGTGTGTCAGCATCAAGTGACGGCTAAAGGGTTTCTCAAACTTTAAACGCGTTTTTCTCTAAACATTTTTTTGCGAATGGCGGGCACGATCAAAAACTAATAATCCAATCGGTTCCAAATTTTGCATCGTTTCTCTGGGAGTGTATAGCTCTCGTATGAACTAGGATAAAGCCAATCGGTGAAGATCTTCCTTATTTTTTAATTTGGTTTTTGGTCAAAAATATTTTCCAAAAATATTTTTTCAAAGGTCCACCATTTTGTTAATTTTAGAGCGAAGTCAATAATCCTAGTTCATACGAGAGCCAGACATGTACTCTTTCTAACACCGTTGGAATTTTCGGATTCCGATGTTCCAAGGAGTTATCATGCCCGCCATCAAAAATAAGGACTTTTCTTTAATTACAAAAAACAACAATAACAAAAATTTTTTGTAAATTATTTTTCTTCTTTTTTAAATCTTCAATTATATATGTGCAAAGTTATAGCCTAGACAGACGACAGCCTTAATTTGCATTAACAGCCTTAATTCAAATTAACTTGTACATTATCCTCATTTTTATGTGTTGTAAATGCACAAAATCAAACCGAATTTATACTGAATTAACCAATTTCAATATGGCAATTCTGTAGAAAATAAATTGATTGTTGTCAAATTTGTTAACGTTTATGAAAATAAAAATTAGAAATAAAGGCAAAATACAACATTTCGTCGAATTGGGCGCAGTTTTATCATCATTATAGCTGTTATTCTTCCTGTCTGGCATATATCCTTTTCATAAAGATGTAATCCTAAAAAATAATGTAAACAAATGACAATATTTTCTTTCTACACACATACAAACAATAGTTTTGAAACAAAAAACTGATTCATAAATGCAGAAACTATCGTCTGTCAGGGGTAAATATTAATTCAAATTAAGAACTATTTAATTCAAATTAAGGCTGTCGTCTGTCTTTGGTATTACAAACCTTAACAAGCATTGGTATTGATTTACCAGCCCATTGAAAATCTTAAAAAATTCAAATCGAGAATGGGGGGGTTCCCTTAATATAAAACGGTTCCTCTTCTTGTGGGTGACATTATAAATAGGTCTAGTTAACTTTATCCCGCTATATTACCTAGCTTACCTGTTTTCACTTAAAATAATCTCATATCCCTATTGTGTAATATATATATTTCAATATCCACGATCCCTGGTATCGATGAATGATTTTTTTAAATGATCATTGAAAACTGAATCTAGATAGATTTATGTCGATTTTTAAATTGATGAACAATGTCATACTTTATTACTCCATCTTATAAATATTGCTTTAATATTTTATTGAAACAGAAAACTCTGATTTGCAAAATCTATTAATAAACCAAAATTTTTTATCCAGTAATCCGGACTGCATTTCACAACTCATTGCGTACTTTATAATCCGGATTGTTTGACCCTATTTGACTCTAAAATCCGGATTGTAAATATATATCATTATTTATGCGTTTATATACCCTATATAACTGTTTTCAGGGTATTATATCTTTGTGCAGCCCCAAGTGCTTGTAACGCCGCGAAATATTGGTCCTAGACCCACTTTTAAGTATACCGATCGTCATATCTCGACTAGCTGAGTCGATCTAGACATGTGTGTCTGTCCGTCCGTCTGTCCATTATAATTTGTAAATACGATACAGGCCACAGTTATGGACCAATCTTCACGAAATTTTACATGTATGATGGGTTCCAGCCAATGAAGACCCCTATTGTTTTTGGTAAAGATCGGTTAATATTTAGGGCATGATATGGACGAAACGCTTAATTTTTCTCGGTTTTTCTGATCGCTCCAGAGGCCGCAATTATGGCCCAAACATCGCGAATTTTTACATGATAAAGATCGGCCAATATTTAGCGGGTCAAATGGACCCCCACTTTTGTGTGAAAAATTACAGAAATTACAGATGCCGCAATTATGGCCCAAACATCGCGAATTTTTACATGATAAAGATATTTAGCGGGTGAAATGGACCCCCACTTTTGTGTGAAAAATTACAAAAATTGTATTCTATGGCGTATATATTTACCCATGAAGGACAAAGACCCGAGAAGTTGATAGCATATCCAAAAGGAGTGGTTGACCTTTAAATTGATACCAATTATATTGTCGTATGTACTCGGCTGTGGGAGTTACACTTAAATATTTACAGGTGCTTACGTATTAGTAACCCATTACAGCACTAGAGGGCGAAAATATAGCACTGATCGCTTTGAAATTTTCCATGAGGTTCCAGATATAATATTCAGTGGTGATCAGATAATAATTTTGGAATGAATTGGACCGAAAACTTAATTTTTTCTGTTTCTTAAGTCGATCTATAGACCACAATTGAAAACAGAACATCACAACACAATCCACTGTAAAGGGAATCTGGACAAGTAATTAGAAGGACTGTACTAAATATTAGTAATATTTGTTGACCTCTAGTCGGTCAAGAGTATGCAAAGTTAGATTTTCGTGAAAGTTGTGTAGGGTATCATATGGTCGGCCCCGTCCGACTATACTGCTCCGCTCACTGGTTTTAAAATAAAGTTGTAGCCAATTTTAGTGAAAACGGTACCTATTATATATAAATTTCATTTTTTTGCCATGAATAATTTTATTTTTTAAAAAACCTAACAGGTTTAAATTATCACTAAATTAACATAAATCCGAATTGGGGTCCGGTATGTATGCTACTCACCTGTACGTAGGAAATGGTACATCTTCTAACTTCATGTCCCTCTCTACATTTATCAAATGTGGTTGCACTAATATCAGCATCACACATTTCACAACGCTCTGGTTTACATTTAAATCCATCGGTTTCAAAACAACATTTATTATATTCCTCACTAAGGACTTTTTTGAATTGTTCCATTGTATTTTGCAAATGATTTGATTCACTTTCATTATTAGCCAGGCCATTGATTAATCGAGAAAACTGTGATTGCATACATGTCACCGATAACTCTTGAAATGAAGACAGCTTTACATCTGGTGTTCGTACAGTTTGTAAATACTGTAAACGTTGAATAATGTATAGCATCTGGACAATCGCCTCTAGAAAAATCAACTCCATTTCAGTATTTCGTTTCACGTTTTTATATTTCATTCTGTTAAATTGAAATTGATAAATTTAATAAAAATAGTCGGAAATTTAAGAAAAATAAAATAATTTGTATGACTTACTTTTGATATTTCGCAAAGTTTCTTACAATCAATAGCTTTATTTGTAATTTTTGAAGATAAGCGTCATTCAGAATTTTCGGTATACTTAAGCGGCTTAAACTCATGAATTCATTATATTTATCAGCATTTAAATTATTGATTATGTCCAAGTTAATTGACAATACCAAATCCTTCGCCACATCCATTGTGTTTAGATTAATATTTATAAGTTTAATTAAACTATCGTGATTGCTAATTTTACAAACGCTAATAAATGCTGTATTTGGAGAGTGTTTGGATTGATGTGTATAATCTTTATTGCGTGATAGAAAAAATGACCAAAGACTGCGTGATTCAGAAGCAGCAACTCCTAAAATTTGTAAATTTGTTGTATCGAGATCATGATCGATATTTTGTGTTTCTATAATGAGCTCCTCGTGTGATGGGCAATTTATGCGAATATAGGTAATTATTCCCAGTATAGTGGTAACAATAAACTCCTCCGATGATATATATTCCAAACCTAAAAAAAAATATTTAAAAACAAGAAATATTGCATTGAATGAATAAGTGTATCAATGTTCCGAGAAATAAGCAATATACATCTCATACATATTCTTAGAATGCAGATCTTAATCTAATATTTCCTGTAATTATAAGTAATATAAAAGATTATTAAAATTAGCATTTTCTCTTACCTGTTACTTTGATACCTTTTGTATATAGAGTTGAATTCGATAATATATTACCATCAGTGTCTAGACGATATGCCAAAATATTTGCTCCCTTGCAGTATACAATGAAGTAAGATTTCCATAGTTGACTATAATTTATTATAGCTTTGCGACAATTCATACGATCTTTTTTACTCCACAGATAATGTTTTTCCGTCAATGTTCTTCTTGTGGAATCAATTGTTAATAAAGCGACTTGTCCTAAATTACATGCCGCGATCAACAAATTATCCTTTGTTGTCATATATGTAATTCTTCCCATGGATGTTTTGCAACGAAATAACTCCACAAATTCGTTGGTTTCCCAGCGGAATTTTAAAGCCACTACATATCCTATGGCTGTGGCCACATATATCACAGGCCAATCGTCAATAAACGACCATGTAAAAGCCGTGATTGTGTAGGTACCAATGAACTCCTTGTATGTTGAGAAATTTTTAATATCTTTGGGAGTTTTGTTCAAGGGGAATACATTGGATAATAAAACATTGTTCAAATTTGTCTTCAATACAATCCATTCGTGTGTCAAAACATCTTTATGCAGTAACTCGCATGATCCGTACGTGTTAAGCATACAACACAAATGTTCGTTATTATGGCCTTGCACCAAATCAGCTTGCAACAGTCTTGGCTTTATCGGTTCCACTGAACATTCATACACATACAATGGATCCATGGACAATTCTTGGCTCTCCAACACATTAGCTGTTTCATAGATTTTTACCAAATCGATGGGATTACTCAGGTTGGTAAGTGGCTTATCGTGTGAGACTTGAACATACTTAATATGATATGGCAGAGGTATTAACAATTCGACGGAATACAGCATTTCCAAGATGTGAAATTCATATGAATTCCCTCCCAATAACATATCATTGCCCAAAGAGTTCAAACAGAAATCATGTGCATTATCAACTTTGAATTCCCTTATGGCCAGTTGTGTTAATTTTAAATTCTCATCCATAACGGTTGAATGTTTTTTTTCTTTTTCAAAAATGCAACTCTGTCAACGAATGTTGTGGTTATTTGTTGCTTAACCAAGTACTCAGTAATCTCTGTGGTACGTCTACAACGAAAAGAGAGAATCAAAACAAAACGAAAATTTTATATGTAAAATATAATATGACCGGACTATTATTTCTGTTTTGCTTCCGTCATAATATTCCAAATATCAAAGATTGGAGATTTTCGCTGATAACCCTTACCTGTTGTGATGTAATGGTGTACAATGTTCAGTTATACTTTTGCCCTGATTGAGTGAAAATCACTGCCGAAATATGTCTGCAAAACGTGGAGTCGACTTCTTGAAAAACATTGCCGATTATATGGTCAAAACTAATGGTCACGATGCCATTACCAAAGCGGTAAATATTGAAATTTGTCAATTCGATTTGTTTTGTTACAAAATATTATTTTAATTGATAGTTTGTTTTTATTGATAAATAAAAATCAAAGTCCATGCCCGAAAATGCGAATGAAACCAAGAAGAAGAAAATAAATGTGAAGGGTTGATTGACCGCAATGTTGCCATATCATCGACTTTGATATGGGAATTTATAGCTCTTTACGGAGATTATAGATGCAGCTGTTGCAGAATCTTCAACTAATCAAATCTATTGGACAGACTTACAGAACGTTTACATGTACCGAATTTATTAAAACCGGTAGATCGAAATTGTCAATTCCATTATGTCAAGTAAATCCTCATAGAGAAGGTTAGCTCGGAATAAAGTTTTGATGTAAATATCGTTTTAGAGTTTTTGGTGTACCAAAAATTATGTACGAAAGCTATATGTAAATCTGGATCGATTTGAAGTAAACTTGGCACATATTAATCGGTGTGTTCTATCACGACTACCTGTCCACAAGATCCATTCAGAAGGAAACATTTTTGATAACTATATATAGTTTGTATATCTTAACCGATTTCCGCATAACATTACACACAAAACATGGCCACAACATGGTACGCTGTACACATTTTTGTCTCAATCGAACAAACATTATGTCTGTGGTGTATTGTAAAATCGGACGAACCTATATAGGGTTGCTACATACAAGTCTCTGAAACAATTTTTACCAATTTCAAATAGGGTAATAATACCATGCTTGTACCCATGGTACCTACAATTATACAAGGTAGAGTATCTTTTGTCATCATAATAAAAAAAATAAATAGAAACAAAACAATCGATTTGGAAATATGATTAAGGTACACAAATCATAAATTTCAATCAATGTTTTACAATGCATCTTTAAACAAATGGATTTAAGAATATAATTATTTTATATTTTTCAAAGCATTACATACAGTCTCAAATTTTGTATCCGACTTTGACATAACAAGCCTCAATATGAAGCCTCAATAATTTATAAGTTGCTATGGCAGTGAATAATTGTACCATGCTTATATCTTCAAATTTTCTGTATATTTAGGATCCAAAATATAGTGTCGATCATACTGGGTTGTTCCTACTTTGTACTGAACCCCAGTAAAATATTTGGATTTAACTGTATTGTAGTAAGAAACTCAAAAAAAGCCGGAGATTTCTTTCTTATATGGAATTATCGGATATATGAAAGTATAAGCTCGGTGTTTTTGATAATCTTTCTTATATGCGATTTTTTCTTGTATGAGATGTGCTTATATCCGATATCTACTCTAGTTTTAATCTGCGAAATATATAAAATTGGGAGGCAGCTTTATATTACCTTTTGAAAACGTAGGTAACTCTGTTCTAAGCGCTGTCAAACTTTCTTTTACAATTAATAGTCTCTTCCCGTACTTAAATTCGAATTGTAAAATATTCTGTTTCTGAAACAGAACATCATACTATTTTATTTTATGATTATTAATTAGATATCCTTTTTAATTTACTTACAGTTCAGGGTAACTGGAGGCGGTGATGGACGGTGCATTGGCGAATTTACCATAGATAAATCGCATTTAAATGCCGCTGGCGGATTGCATGGCGGCTACACAGCCACAATGATTGACAATGTAACTACATATGCTCTTATGTCGGCTGATGCCCACCCCGGTGTCAGTGTGGATCTAAATGTGAGCTATTTAAAATCAGCTAAAGAAGGCGAAGAGATTATTGTGGATGCAAAAACCATAAAAGTGGGCAAGAAATTAGCATTTCTTGAATGTGTACTAAAGAAGAAGTCGGATGGTTCAATTGTGGCCAAAGGAGGTCAAACTAAATTCATTGACTTTAAGAAAGAATAACAGTAAATTCAATAAAATTTAATTACTTTACTCTTTGTATGTATATACCATATTGTTGCATTAATTTAAATTTATTGTATTCTTTGTACATATACTGCTTTTATTATTTGTACTATTTTTTGAGCGGTATTATGAATATACAATAAAATATAGTAGTGTGGCAACGCTATCAGAGGCTAAGCATATGTTTCGATTTGTTTTGATATTTTTGTTCTGTTCATTCATTCGTTTCGTAACAGTAGTGCAAATTTACATAGATTGTAATATCGAAGACCCAAACAGCACAATTTAACAATAAGTGATGGGCACTCGTAAGAAGGGAGTAGAATTTATTAAACATATTACTGATATTATTAAGAATTCATCCGGATTCGAAAAACATTTAGAAAAGGTATGTTTTGTTGTCAGTTACGTTCGTTGTTTTTGTTTGCTAATTCATTACACACACACACACACATATCTCATTGGCGTTGAACTTAACCAAGGTAGGTGTATCAGCTGTTGTGTCTAATACAATTAAAAAACAATACAATTTTGAATGAAAATCTCTGAGTTAGTGGACTATCTGCAGTAAAAATTTCTAACGGTTCGGAATGGTATTCTTGGAGATATTTAAAATGCGGGTATTTTTGGAACTTTGGAGCCCCATAAGTACTTTTCCCAGGAAGTACTGATATTCCCCCTGAAAAAAGATGTTGTAATCAGCATCAAAAGCTAAAAATTTCAATAGAGGTGTCCGAAAATGGGATTTGTTCCAAAATTTGTTTATTTATATTGAAGCAAACTGCTCTACTTCACAAACTTACCTTGAACTCACCGATGTAACTGTGTCAAGTTGTCAATTTAATTCAAAAATACCCATAGTAATATAATTTTTTTTATTATGTCTGGTTACTTTTCCAGTAACATTCAGTAAAGTGGCCCACACACGTCAAACATGTGCGTTCGATCGGTGTGAATCGAAGCAATGTTTGACGTGTGTGGTACGGTGTTCACACCGATTTGCCGGTGCGCACACCGATCGAAAGAAATTAAAAATTTTTAATTTTTCGTTGTGCGACGCGCACATGTTTGACGTCTGTGGCCTGGTGTGTGGATATTTTCTCATTTGTTGAGAAATTTCGTGGAGTGCGGATCAAATTTATTTATATTTATGAAAATAAAAATAGGAAATGAAGGCAAATTTCAACTATTTTTTAAATTGGGGGCTGTTTTGCTAAGATCTTAGTTGCTATTCCTCCTTTATGTCATGTATCTATTTCCTAATTATGTAATCCCGAAAAATATCGAAACAAATGTAAAAAATTTTCATCCTACACACAGATAAACAATTGTTTTGAAGCAAAAAAACTGTTTCGTAAATGCAGAAACTCTCGTCTTTCAGGGGTAAATATTAATTCAAATTAAGACATTTTTAATGCAAATTAAGGCTGTCGTCTGTCTATGGTATAAGCCTTTTTTACTCTCTTTTGCGATAATACTGAGAAAAGTAAACAGACAACATTTAGTAAGATTTAGCAAATAAACAGCTGATTCCAGAAAACATTTGATTTGCGCCAAAATTAAAAAAATACAAAAGACAAACACAATTATTTGTATTGCATTTATTATTAAAAAATAAACAATAAAAGAAAATTTGATTTGGTATGTTCCCCGGGAACTTATAAGCTTCCTGCATCAATGCATTGCCCTCTATCTGGAATTTGCCTAAATATATATATATATATATATAAACAATTAGTTTCTAATTTAATGAACTTTGCATTACTTACGAATTTTCTTCAATTTCTGTAATTTCAAATAAACTCGCCTAATCTAAATGGGACTTAAAAAAGTACCCACAGTCTCACCATAATTAGGTACTCAATTCAATTATTAAAGTTAAAAGAGCATAGTGTAAATTCATGGTCGAAGGCTAACTTTTTAGGGGAAAAAGGCATACTTTGAATATAGCATCTGGACTGGTAAAAATATTTTAAAAGTTGTAGGGGAGACTGGGCCTCATTCTGCACTTTTTTAGAGCTCTATATCTCAGTACTTATTCAACAGGTTTGGCTGGTTATTTTCGTCTGATACATACTTAATTATAAACAATAGTTGCAAAAACATATCGTCATCAAAAATGCAAACGGACGTAACTACTATTGTTCGTTCGTCTAATCAAACTACATATTCACACCAAAAATTTAGATATCTAACGTCAAAAACAGCGATCTAATTAAAGAAATTCAAACGGACGTAATTACCACACTAATTACTTCACCACACTGTGGTACAGGGTATTATGTCTTTGTGCATATGTTTGTAACAGGCAAAAGGAAACGAGAAAGACACATTTATGAATCGATTTAAGCATGTCCGTCCGTCTGTCTGTCCATGTATTTTTGTGAGCAAAGTACATGAAATTTGGATGAAATTTGGCACAGCTCATTTGTTTGGCCCAAGGACGAACCCTATTGAAATTGGGAAAAATCGGTTCAGATTTAGATATAGCTCCCATATAAATTTTCGTCCGATTTAATGTAAATGGTGTACAAAAGTCCATATATATCTTTCGATTTGCATGAAATTTGGTACAACGTACTGAATTGGGCCTAGAATGATGTTTGCTAAATTTCGTAAAAATCGGTCCATATTTAGATATAGCTCCCATATATAGTTTAATACGATTTCATGTAAATTGTGGACCAAAATCCCTATATATCTTTCGATTTGTATGAAATTTCGCATAACGTACTGTATTGAGTCTAGAGTGATGTCTGCCAAGTTTCGTGAAAATCGGTCCAGATTTAGATATAGCTCCCATATATAGTTTCGTCCGATTTTATGTAAATGGTGCACCAAAGTCCCTATATATCTTTTGATTTGCATGAAATTTGACATAACGTACTGAATTGAGCCTAGAATGATGTCTGCAAAGTTGCGTGAAAATCGGTCCAGATTTAGATATAGCTCCCATATATAGTTTCGTCCGATTTTATGTAAATGGTGCACCAAAGTCCCTATATATCTTTCGATTTCCATGAAGTTTGACATAACGTACTGAATTGAGCCTACAATGATATCTGCAAAGTTTCGTGAAAATCGTTCCAGATTTAGATATAGCTCCCATATATAGTTTCGTCCGATTTCATGTAAATGGTGCACCAAAGTCCCGTATACCTTTCGATTTGCACGAAATTTGGCATAACGTACTGAACTGATGCTGGAATGATGTGTGCTAAGTTTCGTGAAAATCGATTTAGATCTATATATATATATATATATATATATATATTTTCGTCCGATTTAATCTAAATAATGGACCAAGTTCTTATGTTGCATAGCGTTTTGAATTTAATCCAGAATGATGTGTGCCAAGTGTCGTGAAAATTGGCCAAGACTTAGATATAGCTCCCATATATATTTTCGTCCGATTTAATGTAAATAATGCACCACATGTATCCTGAGTTTCGCGAAAATCGATTCAGATCTAGATATATATATTTTCATCCGATTTAATCTAAATAATGTACCAAGTTCTTATGTCATAGAATAACGTAGTTGGGTTTTCTAGAAGTACAGACCTAGCCCAACGGATGACCTATTGATATTTGTTTGAAGTCGATTTACATACTTTTGTTCCATTGTAACAAACGAATGACATGTTTATGGATAGATCTAGGTCGTTTCACATTTAGATAAATATCACATATTTTATTTCATACAATTTCATGATAATAGTCCTGTGTAATATACCCATATCATATAGTCGGCCCCGCCCGACTTTACTACTTTCCTTACTGGTTATTAATGCAAACGGTCGTAACTATACTCCTGTAAAAAACTAAAGCTCGCAATATTGAAGATAGAAATTTAGAACTTATATTAATGTTACTTCTGGGATATTGGCCAATAATTTATGGTAGCCCCCATATAGCGGTACCCCAAATTCCACTGCGTGGAAAAGTACCCTGTGCAAAGTTCTATCGCTATCGGAGAAATAATAAATGTCTTTAGTGCAACATTTACATAAAATCGGTCTGTATATGGGAGCTATATCGAAATCTAAACCGATTTTCATGAAACTTCACACACATCACTCTTGACTCAATTCAGTACGCTATGCAAAATTTCATGCAAACCGAAAAAATATAGGGGCTTTGATGCACCATTTATACAATATCTGACGAAAATATTTGTGGGGGCTATGTCTAAATCTGAACTACAGTTGTGTTGTAGTTACGCCCTTTTGTTTTAGAAAATAACAATTTAAAAGGACATAACTGACATAAAATCTTTAAAAACAAAAAAAAAAAAACCAGTGAGCGGAGCAGTATAGTCGGACGGGGCCGACCATGCGATACCCTACACAACTACCACGAACTCTAACTTTCTGAGGATGTTTATTCCGAGTCTGAGTAATATTTCGTGATACTTTTGTCCGATTAGAGGTTAACAACACCTCTTCCTTACTTTTTTCGAATATTCAGTACAGTCCTTCTAATTACTTGTCCAGATTACCTTCACGGTGGGTTGTGTTGTGATTTTCGGATTATATTTCATGAAAACACACAAAAAATTATGTTTTCGGTCCATTTCATCCCAAAATTTGAATCTGATCATCACCGAAAATTATAGGCGTTGTTCTTGACCATAACTGGAACTTCATGAAAAATTTCAAAGCCATCAGCGCGATATTTCTCCCTCTAATGTGGTAATGGGTTACTGAATAATATCTGAATACGTAAGCACCTGTAAATATTTGACTGTAACTCCCACATCTGAGTAGATACATCACTATATTTGGTATCAATTTAAAGGCCAACCACTCCTCTTGGATGTGCTATCAACTCCTGGGGTCTACATCCTCCAGGAGTAAATATATATGCCATAGAATAGAAATGTTGTCATTTTTCACACAAAAGTCAGGGTCCATTTGACCCGCTAAATATTGACCGATCTTTATCAAAAAAGGCATGCTTATTCTCTGGCCCGATCCCCTTCTCCATGCAAAAATTCGCGGTGTTTGGGCCATAATTGCGGCCTCTGGAGCGACCAGAAAAACCGACAAAAATTTAGTATTTGGTCCATTTCATCCCCTAAATATTAACCGATCTTTTCCAAAAACAATAGGGGTCTTCATTGGCCAGAACCCATCCTACATGCAAAATTTCGTGAAGATTGGTCCATAACTGTGGCCTGCATCGTGTTTACAAATTATAATGGACAGACGGACGGACGGACACACATGTCTAGATCGACTCAGCTAGTCGAGATATGACGATCGGTATACTTAATGGTGGGTCTAGGACCAATATTTCGCGGCGTTACAAACATTTGGGGCTGCACAAAGCTATAATACCCTGACAACATAGTTGTGTAGGGTATAAAAAATAATAATAAATTTGGTTTATCAAAAAATAATGCAGTTAAACTTTGAAAAAACTTCCAGCCAAGCTCCATTTTAATAGATTTTATAACGTTTTTTTGGTTCTCCTGTAAAATTAATAAAAGTGTAGTTACGTCCGTTAGCATTTATGATGACGTATTAGGATTAGTTAAACATGTTTACAGTTTTGTAAAAAAAAAATCAAATTCGCCGAATGTGCCCCTACCCGGGGTAGCTTCGGTATTTGATGGGTCACATTCGGCACCATAGTCATATACTGGTAATTATCACCGCTGGCAGTCTGGTTGGAATTCAGATCTACAAAAGGTTCTATTCGGTTCAATGTTTGACTTTTAAGGCTATATTTTCAAACGGCGGACGTTGACTCCTCAAAGCCACATACACCATCAGAAATAGCCTTTTCTATCGCATTTTTGACAATACAAGAACGTTTAGTCTTATATATGTAATTTCGAACCATATTAAAGGATTATTTTTACAGACAAATTCAAAAAACATTTGAAGGAAATAATATTGCACTATCTGCATATGTCCGAATATGCCCACTTCAAAATGCCGAATCTACCCCGAATGTACTTTCTATAGTTTTTTTTTAATTTTTTTCTACCAATCTTCTAAAAACATATTAACGAACTTTTATATACGAGTACGGAGACAGGACAAATAGCGTTCACATTTGTACAATTTCGCAGTTTTGTAAAAAAGTAGTAAAAAATCTAGAAATTCTAGGTATTTTCGCCATTTGTATAAGAAAATATGACATAATAATGGATTAGGGCGCGTTACGACTATGCCTCCTAAATTGAGGTACAAAATCCTAACTGCTTAGACTTAGTATCATGATAAAAAGCAACAGAAAAGCTCAGCTGATTTAAATCCAAGTTGTACTCGTGTCAATATAAATGGGACAAATACAAACCAGAACAGGATACAAACTCAAAATATCTTTCAGGAAAATGTAATGCTAATAATGTGCACGTACATATATTTTGGTTCGAATAAAAATATATTTGTTTATTTATTCTTCAAACAATAAAATAAATAAATAATAAAAAAAAACAAATACAAAATACACACAATTAAAACTTTTTCAAAAATACTTCAAAAGAATCGAGGGCTGATCAAAAAATGTTTACCACAGTAAATGATTTAATTACGTGGCCACCACTGTATATTGAAAACTTCCAACTATGCTCAATCTTTAGCAATTTTAAAATGCAACAAGATGAAACATTTTAGGGATAGGAAATAAACAAGACATCGATTTTCCCTTTAAGATAAAACGGCTCTAATATGCACAATGACATAATGTGCTGTTCCACAATGTGGTATATTTTAAAAAATGACCGAGTCTGATTAAAATATTCAACTTGTTTAAAATAAAATATTTTATTATGTCCGTCAGAAATGCAATTTATTAACAACACACATTTACATGATTTCATTTATGTATGTACTGACATACATACCACATAATTTTTCATTCTCATTTCATTCGTTAATTATTAACAAAAAATGTCTGCATGTACATTTAATTGAACAATATTGTTGAATAATTGCTATATTGCCATTATATCGCAATTTCTCCCACGAATATCTAGTTAATTAGAGTGTTTATTATATTATTTCTAATTAAAAATAGGTAAAAATCACCAGCGGGGGCGAGGGCAAATGCACAGCAGAATTTGTGGTGAGCACAGAACACTTAAATCGTTTAGGCGGTTTGCATGGCGGATTCACAGCAACCCTAGTTGATATGGTCACTACTTATGCTCTCATGTCGAAACCGTGTCATCCGGGAGTTTCGGTAAATATAAATGTTGATTATCTAAAAGCAGCCAAGGCCGGAGATGAAGTTCTTATCGATGCGAATCTCTTGAGAGCTGGCAAGAAGCTGGCCTTTCTTGAATGTGTGCTGAGGCACAAGAAGGACAATTCAATAATAGCCAAAGGTTCGCACACAAAGTTTGTCGATTTTCAATAGTCCGATTTAATGTAATGAAATGTAGTTTAGTACTAAAACTAAGAAATAAAAGAGGCACACCATTTGTGATTTGTAGAATTGTTTATGTGTTTACTTTATTATTCATTAAATTGCGTAAGTTTACTATATTAAGATTATCTTAAGTTTGGCCATTTTGTTGTCGTTCTGGTTTTTGGTTTAATTGGCTTATTCTTCTTAGGTTCATTCTTTGGGTGGTTTGTAGTTGAAAATTGTTTTACATCTGAATAGTGTTTTTGTTGTTGTTTTACTTTGAACTTATTTATTGTGCATTAAGTGAGAATTTTTTATCGGATATTTTTTTTATCATTCGATCGGTGTTAAAATTACTTATTAAACGAACGTACAACAAATTTGGAAAAATACAATCAATTTTTGTTCTCAATAAATCTAAAATTTTAAAATCGGTATCTATTGAATGCTTATTGGATTTTCGTCTAATTGTTATTACTGGTCTTATTAAAAATGTGAGGACAATGAGGACAACAGGCCATGGGCGGCGTTATTGGTTCTATACCCGGTTCACAGTGCACTTCGCCACATTTCTCCTTTGTGCAAGTGATTTGGGCACGACGACATTCACATTTGGTACAATAATCCGGCGTCCAGACTTCATTGTTCAGGCGTGTAGTTCCGTTTTCATCGACACAATGATTTCTCTTGATTGGTTTGTCCTTGGAGTTGCCGCTGCTATCACACGACTCTTCTAGTTTGTGCATTTTCTTGTGCATCTTTTTCAATTCCTTTTGGAAGGCGCTTATAACTTCCTCCAATCCGCTGACACGTTCTTCATTGACATCCATCAATTCTTCCAAATTATTAAAGTGTGTATATTCTTCATCATCACCTTCTTCTTCCTTAATTTGTGTTTGGGCCAGTGATCGCTTCATACGATTGGGTTTCGGATATGTCTGTGGTACATAAGAATCGATGAGTGGCGGTAAACTGCTGCATACTGCACAATCTTGCCAGAAGTATAAATTAATGCCAGGAATTTCTTCGCATTTCTTATAGCCGCCTTGATGTTTGGCCAAAATGAAGACATTTTCATTTACTTCTTGAATGTTGTCTCCAGTATCACAAAGTACCCTAGCCAGGTTAGCTTGTTTAATTTGCTCCAGCTGTTGCGGTAAGAATACAGTTGGGTTTTCGTAATAGAAACGATCACCGTCTCTTAGACGTCTAAACTGTTCCACCAATATGCACTGGAATAATGGACCCACTTTGCCGTCTTCTATTTGATCTTCGAGAATGCCTCCCACAAAGACATCAATGTTATCCGGATGACCGTAAAGTTCCTTCAGTTTATCGCGGACTTCCTTATCCGTAATCTCCTTGGCCAGATCGTCAAAGGTTTTGGCTTCAGTCAGATTACAAAGTTTACGATAGACATTGTAGCCAGGTATGCCATGATCTCTACCTCTCTGTATATTCATTGCAGCCAAGTCCAAAGCTACAGCATGGGCTGTTTGGAAAAGTTTTTCTGTTAGCTCTGAGTTGAGATTTTGTCCAGGCAGCTTTAATTTGGCCGGTGTGGCAAACATGCCGCGCATCAATGGATCTACACCGCCTTCGTACACCAAACGCCATGGAGCGAAGAAGGCCTTGTGTAATGGCAAATGTCCCTGAGTTATGGGTTCAAACGAAGTGTTCAAGCGATGTAGTACGGGATTGATGAGGGTATGGCCAAATCGGAAAGCAGCTGTGGCAAATTCATTTGCGATTGAAGGATCCAATGATGCATTGTATCCCTTGTATTCCCCAAGCATTTTCATGCCACTTTCGCCAATTATTAAAGGCAACCAATGCTTGTAGGTGATGTGCTGCATTTGGGCTCCGACAATTTTCCTTGTTTCGTGATATAGGGTGTTTCCTTCCCATTGCGGATTAATATCCTTCAAGGCAGTAGCTATGCGGTTATGTTCTCGTAACCAAATTGTGTGCATGGCCAGTAGACCCACTTGTTCATTAACTCTTATGTCGCCTGATACAAAGCAATTCATTTGATTTTCGTCTAAGTTGCGGCGGCAGTCCATGCCGTCTTGGGGAGCGGCAAATGGTAGCATTTCCCGCTGATTTGGGAAATGAACGCCCACACGTAAAAGGCCATCATCTGTGGTCAAATTCCTAAGTTCATTGGCAAATTCTTCAGTGTAGCCATACACCTGTGAGGCATCAATGAACGAAGTCAGTTGATTGATTTGTTCACGATGCTGGACACTGTCAAAAAATACCGAAGTCATGCCAGAACCACAAATCGAACTAGATCTCACCAGATCAATGCAGCGTCTATTACTGATGCGTGGGTCATTTGGTGGTACTTCAATGGGATAACAAGGTGGGGCGAATTCACACGTCTTTTTGCAATCCACACCATCCCAACTTTCTGAACTAACGGAGGGTATAGCGTGATCCATGTCATGATCCAAAAATTGACCCCATTGCATAACCATATGAGTTATGCGGTCATCCGGAGTTACTTCCTTGGTGGATATCAATGAGGTGGAAACCAATCGAGCGCTTGGTTTCTGGAATCCCGCATATAACTTATCCTTAGTCCAACCAATGGGTAAACTAAAGCCATTTTCATAGATAGGTTTCTCAAGACGGCGGAATGCCGTTAGGGATGCACCCCAGGTAGGATGAAGAAGGTTATTGCAGGTACCGTCAATGCTACGATATTTCGAATGGAAACACATATCTGTACAATTGGGCGTTTCACGATGCTCCATACAACCGGATAGTTCAGCAACCAAATGTAAATGTTCGCGCGACAATAGATCCTTAAATTTGTATTTGTCACTTTCGATGGTCAGATTATCACCCATTAAGACATGCTTGCGTATATTAACCAATGTACGTTCATAAATCTCTGCCGCTCTAGCCAATTGTCTGGCTTCGCCGGTGGGGAAGCGGAAAACCCTCAGCAGATCACCATAATTGGGCGGTGCAGGTTCACCATTTGGTTTTGTGCGATTACGACTTGTGAAAAGGGTATCGATAGTATTATTAATGGCCAAATCGATTTCCTTGGCCGCCTCCTCAAATGCAATGCGAACATAACGATCTCCAGGTGCCAAATCATCATTGCTCCTGAAAGTATAGAAGAGAAAAAATTTAGTTGTTAGGCCGATCTTGGGAAAGAGAGAAGAATAAAGAAAATACATATGAATGTACATTTGCAAACCATTCGTCATAACGTGAGGCGTACGAGAGTCACTGCTGGTTTAGGAGATCAGATTGTATATTGACGATAATCAACTAATTTTTAATATTTTCTTCGGTATCATAAAGGACCATTTTTTTGGTAGTATACAATTAACATTCTTGCAGGTTCTGGAGCAGACTTAATAATGAAAATCCTTTTAATTTATTTCGCTCATTTTCACATCTGTGTCTTTTATTCACAGTTAATAATTACATTCGGTATCATCCTTAATCCTATGCCTACCCAAATGAATGTTAAATACGAACATTAAATATTTATATTTAACTTAACCCCATCATTAACACTATAAATCACAGTTTGACATTTGTTACAATTTGTAATGAAAATCTTCCAAGATTTGCCAGAATCCTATCCATTGCCCCAATGTAAATAAGCATCGTTATCGTCATCATCACCATCCTTGTCATCGACATCTTCGTTATGTGAGGATGAAGTTTCACCTACAAAATGTCTTCGTTGAAAGCCAACTGTGTTCGTACAATGACGTGGATGTGGATGTGGTTGGATACAGCAGCTGAGAAGTGTTCATCATTAGAGTACAAATAGATGTATTACGTGGATGTGTATGATGACGTGGATGTTGAAGATGTTACACCGCAAACACTACAAATCCCCAGTGCTTATGATACAGGGATATCTACAACATCACTGCTTCTGTCACTTAAAATGGACAAAGAACCTAATGGTTGGCAACAGGATAAAACCACAAAAACATATGTACTGCAAGAGTTCTCCAAGAATCCCCTAGATACCGAACCAACAACTAGCAAATTTATGCACAGAACTTCAGGAAAGAAAATAAACCCAAGGCCCAGAATGGATGGTAAGCATAACAAACGAACGAGAATAAAAATATACACAACTCTTTGTATTATCATCTTATGTCTTAGCTCTTTGCCGGTGATACCCTTAACTAGTACGAACAATGAATTCGGTCTACATAAATACCCATTAGCAGTTTGCAACCCAACACAGATCCAGCAACCGGAGATTTGAAGTGATTTGCTCTTCTCACTTTTTGCTTATAATATCATCACTGAATCCGTAAAATAAGCCAAACTAAAGAAGAAAATGTCTTAGTGGCATTTCCTGTTGTTTTACTGTACAAAATTGCCTGGGGCCTTGTTGTTTCGTAATGACCCGAAATGTCATAGAACATGCATATGTCTATAAAATTATATTTCACAAAGAATTGAAGGCAATGGTTGAAAAATCACTGAGTGCGAAAATAGATTTAAATACGCTTTTGATAACAATTATTTAAGCTGGTAAGTTGTATCTTATTTAAAAGGCTTATTTCATAATTATTTGAAGTTTTATAAGAGCAATCAAATTTAATGATTTAGTTAAACGTGCTCGTTTTTCTACCTTTTATACCCTTCATCACAAGGTGGAGTGTATATTAAATTTGTAATTTCGTTTGCAACATCTCGGAATATTCAACTGAGACCCCATAATGTGTATACAGTGGCGTGCAAAAGTGTACGTATGTTACATATTCTACTAAAATGTCAATAAAATCGTTCTAGCTAAGATATTTCGACAACAATTTGAATGTTTTCCCCTATTTGTTGGATTATATCATGGTGCAAAAAATAATGAAAAAAACAGTTGCAACTCTGGTTATCGCGAACGATCACAACAAATGACAATTCGTATACTTTTACTCGTGTTGGTTAATTTATAGTTTACGCCGTAAACTTTACGGTTTTTATTTGAGTTTTGGTTAGATATCGACTATGTGCGGGGTTTCCAAATTATTATTGACACTTTTTTAATTTTCGAATAGTAGTTCTGACTGACCTTGGACTGTTAAGCAGACAAATAGCAAAAATATTTAGAAAATATTCAATAATAGGATCGTTCGTTTAGTTTCCCAGTAACATCTACTCAGTAAGAATTTGCAGAGAGTAAACACGATTTTTTCCTTCTCAAGAGAGAAAATTGTAAAAAGTAAACGAACCAAATCCAGTAAAAAGATTGTATCGACACAGCTGATTAAAATAACAAACAATATGGCGCAAACAAAAAAAAGCAACATTTTTATTCTTAGAAAAAATGGATAATCAGCGGGAAATTTATGTTGTTTATAAATACTTGCGTTTTTCTTATCCATTTTAATGTTTAATGATACAAAATCAAAATAAAATTCACAAAAACAATAAATTTGCTTGAGAACAATTTTGTTGTTTTTTTACAAAACAGCTGATGGTACAAGAAAATTCTTACAGAGTACATTTGTTCTTGTAAGAATTTCCATATACTCAGTAACACAACTTTCAAATCTGCTCTCTCAATTCACTCTCTTTTACTGAACTTTTGGGTAAACGAACAACATTTTATAATAATTTGTACAAATTATTGAGTAAACGAACAGACCTAATATCATTTCGAAAATAGGAAATATATAGCGGTGTTTTACACTGTTCGTCATGGGCAGTGTAAAACCCCACATAGTCGAAATGTCTGCTCGCTCAAGATTGTCAAATGACACAGAGGCTCGACAATGTGATAATAAACAATAGACAGTTCGTCTTCGAACGGCTCACAAGAAAGACGCCTTAAAAAATTAATTACGCCTACGGGCTTAAAAAAGTACAAAATGGCGCTGTGTTAAGCTTTCGCTTAACTTGCCACGTGTTTTATTATTGAACTAACGAAAAATATAAGAAAATCTCGTTTATGTCGCGCATATGGTTTATGGTCTTATACCTTCTTTTCAATTAGAAAGTGGACTAGCTGGAGGAGGAACTGCCTCCAGTTTTTAAAGAGATAAAAAATATAAAATAAAAAAAAAAATAAATAAAAAATAAAATAAATAAATAAATAAAAAATAAAAAAATATAAATAAACAATAGGGATAAGTAAATCGACTTTTTGTATTAAAAAGTCCCAAATTCGAAGTCGAGTTTTAATCTTTGAGGAAATCGCAAAGTCGAATTTTCAAGAACGTCTTTCGATATTCTTCATAATTACTTTGTTTATTATCCCAAAGCCAAAATTGTCTAGAATTCCAGAATTTGACTTTCTCTGTTGACACCAAATCCTGTAAAAACTAGAATTTTTAGACGATTTTTCATTAGGTTTCGAACAGGTTTGACAAAATTGAAAGTTGACTTTTTAGTCAAGGGTAAAAATCGACTAATAGTCGGCTTTTTGGTCAGTTGCAAAAAGAAAACAATCGACATGGATGGACTCTTGCAATGAGCACAAGAGGAATGGACAAAATATTAAATAAATAAATAAATAAAAAATAAAAAAATATAAATAAACAATAGGGATAAGTAAATCGACTTTTTGTATTAAAAAGTCCCAAATTCGAAGTCGAGTTTTAATCTTTGAGGAAATCGCAAAGTCGAATTTTCAAGAACGTCTTTCGATATTCTTCATAATTACTTTGTTTATTATCCCAAAGCCAAAATTGTCTAGAATTCCAGAATTTGACTTTCTCTGTTGACACCAAATCCTGTAAAAACTAGAATTTTAAGACGATTTTTCATTAGGTTTCGAACAGGTTTGACAAAATTGAATGTTGACTTTTTAGTCAAGGGTAAAAATCGACTAATAGTCGGCTTTTTGGTCAGTTGCAAAAAGAAAACAATCGACATGGATGGACTCTTGCAATGAGCACAAGAGGAATGGACAAAATATTAAAATTTCGCTTAATATTTTTATGTTTTTATACACGTGCAATTGTGTTGGAATTTGGGGGTTTTTCATGTTAATTATTTTCTAAAAATATTTTATAAGTTTTCATCATCTATATATATAAAAGAGTTGCGTTATAAGTGACTGACTGATCATCAACGCCCAGACGAAACGGCTAAAGCTGGAAACTTGAAATTTGGCATGTAGGTTGGGTTTGGTGGGGAGGCGTGTGATAAGGCGGGGTTTTTGGAAATTCGTACTAAAAGGTACTAAAAAGTACTAAAAACTGTATTACGCGGGAACGGTTAGATGTAGAACTCTGAAATTTGGTATGCATCTTTGCCTAGGATGAGTGAAGTGGTATGTGTGCAAAAATTTTGGAATTTAGTACTAGAAGGTAATAAAAAGTACTAAATATTATATTTCAATGGAACCGGTGAAAATATATATCTGAAACATGGTACGTAGCTTAAGCTATTACAAATAGAATAATGTGCAAAAATATTTTTTGGAAATTAGTACTAAAAGGGTACTAAATAGTACTAAAATTTGTACTACGTCGAAACACTTGGAACTACAAGTCTATAAATTCTGTATGCAGATTTGCAAATGATAAATAACTCAGAATGTGCGAACAATTTTGGAAATTAGTACTAAAGGTACTAAAAAGTATTAAATATTATACTACGTAAATATTATACTATGTAACTTAAGCTATTACGAATAGAATGGTGGGCAAACATATTTTTTGAAATTAGTACTAGAATATATTCAACAGTTATAAAATGCCTAAATGTTAAACTTCGCATATAGCTTTAACTATTACAAATAGAATTTAATGCATAACATTTGGAAATTAGTGCTAAATAATAAAGTACAATAGAACTGGTATAAATAGAAATCCAGAATTTATGTTGTAGCTTACTCTATTGCAAATAGAATGCTATGCATAATTCTTTTAAACTTAGTAATATATACTGTAGCATAATGAAACCTGTGGGAATTGAAATTACAAATAATATGCTATACAGTAATCAATTTTTGGAATTAGTACTAAAATAGTACAAAATATTAAATTATAATGGGAGAGATAAAGATTGAAATCGGAAATTTAGTCTGTAGCTGAAACTATTACAAATAGAGCGATATGCATAATATTTTTGGAAAATTGTACTAAATATTGTACAGTGAATGGTAAAAAATATAAATGTAAGTT